GCCATTTGTGGTATTTGTATTCTAATTGCTTTTTTAATAAATCTTGTATGGACATCTCTTGGCAACTTATATTTCACTGAGTGTCTTGTGAAGGCTCGAAACCCCTCATCCGTTCCTTCTATCATATTCCCTTTAGTTATCACCAATGCTTCTGCCAGAATTTCTCCCTCCTTCTATCTTCTGGAATCTGAGGTAAAATTCAAGTCTATCAATCTCCCATTCCAATACTTCACTCTTATCTTTTTCAACAGCACTCATTCTGCTGTCAATATCTCCGATTTTCTTATCTCTTTGTTCATCTTTTTCTTCAGTTTTTTGAGATCTGTCCTCCTATTTCACCATCATTCCATCTATTTTATCTGTTCTTTATGTGGCCATACTTTTTTGCTGGTTTCAAGATTGGCCACAACTGAGGTCCTCCTCATTAGTTTCTGCCCCACTTGCTGAGTTTGTTCCAGAATATTTCCGCTTCTTCCCCAAAAAGTCAGATTAAAATTCTAGGTGGTCCCCTTGGGTCTGTCACTAGTTGATTTAAAATGTCTGCACCTTCCTTGAACTGCCTAGTGGAAAGGCAGCTAACAAAAAAAAGGAGCATTTACAAAATAATTATAGAATAATAGAATTGGAAGGGACCTTGGAGGTCTTCTAGTCCAACCCCCTGCTCAAGCAGGAGGTCCTATACCATTCCAGATAAATGACTGTCAAATCTCTTCTTAGCACTCACAGCTTTTGGAGGCAAGCAGTTCCACTGGTTAATTGTTCTCACTGTCAGAAAATGTCTTTCATTCTAGGTTGGATCTCTCCCTGATACGTTTCCATCCTCTTGTCCTGCTTTCAGATGCTTTGATGAATAGGTTAAATCCCCCCACTTTCTCTGGGACAGCCCTTCAAATATTGAAATACTATCATATGGCTCCCAGTCCTCCTCTTTGTTAGACTAGACATTCCTGCAACCCTTCTGCATATGTTTTAGCCTAATGATTATTCCCCTAATCATCTTTGTTGCCTTTCTCTGCACTCTTTCTAGAGTCTCAACGTCTTTTTTATATCATGATGACCAAATCCTTTCACAATATTTCAAGTGTTGTTTTACCAGTACAGAATAAAGAAGTAGTACATCTTCCCATGATCCTGATTCTATCCCTCTGTTGATGCAGCCTACGACTGCATTGGCTTTCTTAGCAGCTGCAGCCCATGGCTGGCTCATCCTTAAGCGGTTGTCCCAAGGATTCTTAGATTCCTCTCACTCTTGCTGCTGTTGAGCCAAGTGCCACCTATTTAAAAGGTAGTTTTCTACCATTTAAAAATCAAATGTAGGACCAAATGATAGAGAAATATTTTTTAAAACATGCTTTTTAAAATCATTGATGTGGTTTTAAAATAAGGGGTTTCACCTCCACTCCTCTGGCCGGGAGACAGGTAGCCATCATGGGTCGCTGCCCTCATCTTCCTGCTGTAACTGAACAGCTGCTTGGATCCCTTTGTAGCCCAGCTACAGCCTGTCCAGCTGCAGCCCCAGCCTGCTTTGCTTTGACTCCCCCTCCTCCTTTTTGCTTCAGGGGCCCTGAAGTCCTACCTGAGGGAGCTGCCGGAGCCACTGATGACCTATGCCCTGTATGAAGAGTGGACCCAGGTTGCAAAGTAAGGCTGGTTTCTGCCAGGATCTCTGGTTTTGCCTTGTCGATGCTTGAAAAGTCTTTGAAAAGTTGTGCTTGGAAACCACTTTCTTGATTTTCTCCTTGCATTTCTTTCACTGCTCTTTTTAAAGCAACGATGTTGTGTTTCCATTATGTTTTATCATTTTTTTTCTGGTGTATTGTTGTAAGCTGCACAGAGTAGCCCCACAAAGAGATGGTTGGCAAATAAATTTTATTATTATTATTATTATTATTATTATTATTATTATTATTATTATTATTATTATTATTATTATTATTATTATTACGAAACAAGAATACAGAAAAGATGTGATAAAATAAAGAATGGAGAGTTGGCAGAACAAAGCACTGCATGGTCAATTTCTGGAAAAAATAAAAGATAAAGTGGACAGGGAACAAACTTGGTTATGGTTAA